GAGGAAATTGACAGCATCGCCAAAGAAGCAACAGCGCTTACCCAGATTGACACGCCAATCGATTTCTCGACAGCTAAAGCCGTCATCCACCGATCGACCCACGCAAAGTGGAAAAGAGAGGCGAAACCCAAACTGCCGTTTGCCCAGCCGCCGTCATACCAGCTTGAGGCCTCGCTCAGACGACAGGACTGCCGGCTTCTCTCCCAAATGAGAACTGGTGGAAAATCGCCCAAGCTGAGATCATATCTCCACAAAATTGCGCCAGCAGACAACCCAGATCCATCCTGTCGAGCCTGCAAGGAGGAGGACGAAACTATGGACCATGTGTTCCTGAGATGTCCCGCCAACTATCGTGCTAGAACCCGTCTGCTGGGAATTTCAGTAACCCACTTTCAGCACTTTTTAAGGACCCCCGGGCGAGTGTTGAGTTCCTGCGTGCTGTCGGCATTGCTGACCGTTTATGAAGCCACAGCGCCAGTAGAGAGAGAGAGAGAGAGAAATAAGCTAAACACCCCTCCCTTACCTTATTAAGGCCACACCTGTGGCCTAAATAAGCTAAACCCCCCTCCCTTACCTTATTAGGCCACACCTTTATACAAAGTTACAGAAATATTCCTTTTGTGCTTATTGAGGTACAGTGCAGGGTGATTTTACCTGCAATGATAATTGGACAAAATGGGCATATTTAGACAAATCCTATATCATTCTCTTTTTTTTCTTCTTAACTGCTCATGGTTATTAAAGAGTAAGCCAACTAGGTAGTAATTTCGGATTCCTAATACTAATATTATGGGCATTCATAAAATTTTTAAACTTTTTTTTTTCGCTTTTCTCAACGTAAAACGGATTCTGTAAAAAAACAAAACAACAACAACAATGACCTTATCTTTCTTTTTCAAAGTATTGTGCCTATATTTGTGTGAAACTATATATTCTATGCTTTCATGTACATGAAAAAAGCTAATAAAGGCAAGCAAAATGTTCTTCAGATACATAGATCTAGTAGTAGGCCCACTGGAATTTTTTATAAACCGGGAAAGATGACCAGAAAATAAAAAAATTATTTAATGATCTTCACTTGCACTTGAAATTTTTTTGACAAATTATAGTCTACCTCATTGTCTTTTTATTCCCGCATTTTTCTTCACTATTCATGACAACTGGCATGTATTGTTTTCAGTTATTATCAAGAAAGTGGATAGGCGGACTACGGGGTCTATCTAGCCAAAAGGATAGGTGGACCCCGGGATCTACCTAACAAAATGCTAGGTTTTAGGATGTGAACCCCGGAGTCAGCGTAGTGAAATAAGTAGTAGATATAGGTTTAACTAAGGATCGGTGGACCCCGGGGTCAACATAGTGAAATAAGTAGATCTCAGTTTATTTTATAGTAGGACTGGCGGAGCCCGTGGTCAACGTAGTGAAATTATAAGTAGATATAGGTTTAATTAAGGATTGGTGGACCCCGGGGTCAACGTAGTGAAATCAGTAGATCTTGGTTTAATTAAGGATTGGTGGACCCTTGGGTCAATGTAGTGAAATAAGTACATGTAGATCTAGGTTTAATTTTAAGGATTGGTGGACCCTGGAGTCAACGTAGTGAAATAGGTAGGTTTAAGGTGGACCCCAGGGTCTACCTAACGAAATACTAGTTAGGTTTTTAGATAGGTGGAACCTGCGTTCACCGTAGTAAAATAAGTAGGTTAAATCAAGGTGTCCCGGGGGTCCACCAATCCTTAATTAAACTTTCTTATTCTTCTACGGCTATGGTGACTCCGGGGTCCACCAATCCTTTTAAAATTAACCCTACTTATTTCACTACGCTGACCCCGGGGTCCACCTGTCCTAAAACCTAGTATTTCGCTAGGTAGACCCCGGGGCCCGGGGTCCACCTTAAACCTGCTTATTTATCACTAGGTTGACCCCGGGGTCCACCAATCCTTACTTAAACCAAACCTTATTTCACTACGGTGACTCCGGGGTTCACATCCTAAAACCTAGTATTTCGCTCTGCAGACCCCGGAGTTCACCTATCCTCTACAGGACTAAACTATTATCAATTTGCAATTTTCATTGATTAGCATATGTTTTTAAAATATTGAATCAGAGACTCGCTGTCTAAAAAGTCCACTGCTAATGCTATTCTTTTCAAAGAAAATGGCACAATTTGATTTTATGACATGTTGAAAAAATGAGTTTAAAAAAAATAAAAATATATATATATATATATCTATTATCTATTTGTGGTGGCCGAATTTTGCTATTCAAAAGGCTTTTTAATGGCTGCATCCATTGACATGCGGTTTTCGCCAAAAAATTCTTTAAGATATTCTCCAGATCATGACGCCTTTCGTTTTTTCAGTTTTGAGACAGTTTTGCTGCAAAAAGCTATATTTCTTTATTTCGCCAATCGCTTTTGTAGGCCGAACCTTCTCTCTCTGTAATTTTAGAAAATCCGGTGCAGAAGTGATATTTGGCGAGGCGCATTTTGTTTTGAGAGTATAGATCTAGATATAGACCTTCTAAATTTTTGCATCTCTCAAGATTTATTGCTCCATTCAAGTAGAGTGTAAATATCGTAGGCCAATGACTTTCAGTTGATGTTAATGGACCGATCATTCCTTTCATCGAAAGGGGGCCCAGCTAGTATGTATATATATATATGTGTGTGTGTGTGTGTGTGTGTGTGTGTATTTTATTATGTATACTAAAAGACTGAGCAGAGGCTTACAATGTAAATTATTCTGTGCTCTACAAGTAGAGAAAATCTTAAGTTTGCGTAAAATAGATTTTAGAAAAAAAAGTTGGATCTAATTATTCTAATAAAAGTAAAAATGATTGTTATGCTCATATTTGTTATTATTGACTCTGGAAATACAGTTACTTGCTGAATCTAAAAGTAACTAGAACTGTGCAATTCGTTTTATTTCAATTCCAAAGCCCAAAGGCATAGCAATAATAAGTTAGATCTAGATCTAGTAGTTGTAGGCTCTCTGGCTGCTTCTAGCATAGGCCTGCTTCTACTGATTCTAGACAGGTAATCTAGATCTTGCTATCGCCTGCACTATTAAAGTCAAATATATGGTAAAATAAAAACAAAGCTGAATTTTTTTGTCAGTCAGTACATCCCAATTGCCATAATAGCCGCATGTATTAATAGTTGAATAATGCGATACCGAAGCAACACGTTATCACAGTGTGCAGGGGAGAGCGAGGTGCCCAGTCGATTCGGTGGTTCGGCTTTTGTAGATCTATGCATTTTTTATGGAAAGCCCTATTACTAGATCTATTAGTGTTGTGAAAACTTCAACCTCTACAGCTCAGGCGTCAAAAGATGCTGGAAAATAATAATACAGCCAGTAGTTTTTATTTCATCGAGTTATAAAAATAGCCTTCGTATAAAAATTGCCTTGTTTTCAGAAGCAAATTTTAATAGTTCTAGTTCTACCGAATCGATTTTCACGCAAATTCAACCATTTTGATGATCTTTCTTTTCCTTTTAAAAAGATGTAGATCTAGGCCTGTCGGATGTGGCAGTGCGAATAACACTGAGTTGTTTAGATTTAGATCTAATAATAATAATAATAGATAGCATTTGTATAGCGCATATCCCCGCTCAACAGCAGGCTCTATGCGCTTTACGCTATATTATTACCCCAGCAGACCATAGAACACTTCGAAACATTCTCAGCTTCCCGGGAAGCATACAGTGCGAGCAGCCGATTAAGCGCTCAAACACTAACAAACTGACAAGATCTTTCGCTGTCTATAGCCGGGTACCCATTCCCACCTGGGTGAAGTGAGGAAAATTCGTGTAAAGTGCCTTTCCCAAGGACACAACGTCGGGCCCCTGACGGGATTCGAACCCACGACCTTACGGTTGCGAGTCCGAGAGCCTAACCACTAGGCCACCGACGCCACTAGACCCATCAAAACACGAGGCTTCGTGGCCGATCACAATAGTCTACGGGGCTTATCGAGGCCGATTCGCCCTGCCGCGAGCACGTTCACTAAACTGCCTACTAGATAGAATCTATTACAAAATATTCTCTACACGATCTTTGCTACTACTACTACTAGGCCTACTAGCCTACATGTACTACTAAGAGACAGTACGAGAGAGTGTCACTCAGGCAAAGATAGTGTAACTTTGACTCAGCCACGTAGTGTACACTTTTTATACCCCAAATTTAACCCGGAAGTCCATTCGGAGGATTTGACCTTTTCACTTGACCAAAGTGTGCTAAAATGGTAGCCTAGCTTTTGCCCCTCCATGAAGGAAAAATCTGGCCCTCATTCAAACTATTGGGGTGGAGCAAAATTTTGCGTATTGTGCTTTGTTCTTTACAATATTCATTATGATTATGATTTATAAGTTGTACACTGAGTCAAAACCGTACTAAATGAGAAAGGTGCACCATTATGAAAGTGGAACGAACTCAGTTGCCTGAAAAGGGTAGTTTGAGCATGTGTAGCCTAAATAAGCTAAACCCCCCTTCCTTACCTTATTTAGGCCATATGTGGCCTAAATAAGCACTCCCTTACCTCAAACTGATTTTTTTCAAGTGTGTTGTATGTGTAGGCCTACCCATTTAACTATGTATCTTTGTTCAGTTGTTCTTACTAGAGACGACACGGATTTATATACGTTGATTTTTCAGCTAAATGAAAAGTAATGAAAATGGGGATGGAAAAAAGAATTTGAAGGATCTAAGTTTTGAGTCCTGAGTCACCTTTGAATATCATGAATGTCTTACAACTTTTTGTGGCCCAAGAGAGTAAGATGTGGGTTTTTTCTTTTTTTTTAAAAACATACATGCAGCCAAACATACAAAAATAAACCCCACTTTGATCACTTCTAAACTGCAGCCACGTTTAGAATCTACTTTTCTCTGCTGTGGGCGATGTTATCAGAGGATCTATATGAAAGGTAGCTTTTTTAAATCAGAAAAAAATCTATAATATTTCCATGTTCCTTACTGATTGTTTCTCCTTTTCAGAAAAGAAATGGATCCAGGAGAGGAAGGATTTCGTATGCAAAAGTCAGAGAGTGGTGAGTTTTCCGGATCATTCATCCCTGTGGCTGAGACTGCCCCTACTGATGGACTTCCATTGAAATGTGAAGAGGATATTGCACCACAGCCTGGTGATAGTAAAAATAATGATATGGGAGAATTTAATGACAATGAACTGAAGGATGGAGAAATAATGGCTGGTACTGGTGGTGTAGTTTCAGTTCCTGATTCAGAAAGCGATGGAGAGGCTTTGAAGATAAAGGTGGATGCAAAGGAGAGAAGTGATAAAACAGTTGTGGAAAATGATGACAAAGAAACACTGATTAATAATGAAGAGGAAGGTCTTACCAGAGAAAAGGAAGAAAACAAAAGTGATGATTGTGTTGATTCATCCCCGGCCGATAGTGGAAATGACACCATCCTCAGTTCACCTGTGCCTGTATCATTGGCTCCTCAGGTGGTTGTGAGCCTGGAAAATAGTGTAACAAAATCCTTGTCTGAACCTATGCTGGCTGTCGATGAGGAAGCAACATCTGCTCCATCATCTTTTTTACCTTTGTCAAGTGGAGACCTGGGTACTCCCATTTCCACATCGACCCCTGTCATTTCACGGAACACTGCTACTTCGTTAACTGTAGAATCTGACAGTAGACCTCTTTCGAAGGAGGGGTCTGAATCCTACAGCTCCAATCCAGATATGGATCCAAGTCCTGGAGAGGATCAGGATTCTGGGACTGATCATTCCTGTGGATGCAGCTACCAGCATGACCAGGGCAGTCACATCGATCTTGTTTCAGATGATGCTGTCCTGAGGTCACAAGCCATTCCATCTTTAATGGTTCCTGGATCGGTTCGCGTGCCCATCATTGGTCATGAGACTATGGAAGCTCGCTCCAAATTTACAGTAAGATTCTTGGATTTCTTTGCATTGTATGTAAAAGAAAAAGATGAACATAAAATGTCCAGTGAGAGCTTAGAATTTAGAAAATGAAAAATTGTCAGACTAAGAATTGGTGGAATGATTAGAAAGGAGTAGAAGTTTCCTTCTGAAAAGGAATGAGAAAGTGGAAATTTCAAAATGGTAGGACATATTTGTTGAGGCTGGAAAAGTGATGGTGGTTAAAGCTTGATTTATGAAGTGGGTTCATGGAAAAACTTAAGAAATGCAATTGTCTTTAGAGATGTAATAAAGAACGGTGTAATTTGGTATTTTGAAAAATGTTGACAAGTTGGAAAACTTTCACTTTCAAAAAGAAGGAGATCCAAATGTTCGATAATTATACATGAATATTATAACTGTAAAAGGTGTTCTCCAGATAACAATGATATTTTTGTAAAGAAGAGCTTGATTAAAAGGTGGTGGTCAGAAAAGAGATCGAGGTCCACATCTTTATACTTTATTTATATTGACTTTGGGAAATGCAGTTGCTTTTAATTGTGTGTTTCAGGTGTACAAGATTCATGTAATGGTGGAAGAAGATGATGTTGGTTGGTTCATATTTCGTCGATACTCGGATTTTGTGCATTTAAATGATCAGGTGAGATTTTACGAAAGAGCTTGTAACTGCTCATTTGTGAATTAAAAGATGTCAAAATATCTTTTCGAAAAAAAATTCTGTTATTTATGTACTTTTTAAAAACTATTTTTAACAAGTTTTATTTACTTGTTCTTCCTTGTCTTTGTGTTGGTCGTTTTTGGATTTGTCCATCATTGATTCTATGAAGATTGTTTTATCTGTCTGTGTGCTTTTCAAATGCTATATGTACAGGAACTAATTAATGTGTGTGTGCCTCAGGTATGGTGATATATATATATACAGTCAAACCTGCCCTGACGGCCACCTCTATAAGACGGCCACCTGTACAAACGGCCACTTTCCATTTCCCCCCTTGCGTTTTTTCTATATAATTTAACTGTGTAAAACGGGCACCTGTCCAACGCGGCCGCGGCCACCATATTTTAACACACTACCCCTATCACACTAAGCAATAACACCTGTCTTAGACGGCCACCCTAGTGACTCCATTACGTTTTGTCATAAATTGTGCTTTGGCCCCTGGCGTTGTAGACGAGCCGTCACAATTCAATCACCTTCGTTGTTGTTAGGCAGTCCCTCCAACCGATCATGTTGCGTAGGCCCCTCCCACTGTTGACCAATGCTACCACTTTTCAGCTGCTGGCGAGGTAAGCGTGTGATCCCTTAAAACGCATAAGCCCTGCCCAGAATGAATAGACAAATCGAAAGTGAGATGAGTGGTCACTGTTTACCCAGTCTGTAACAAAGTAACAAAGGACGTCAACATGAACTTGTGACAGAAGCGTCGCTCGTTCTCCGAATGGTGGCGACCCATGTGTTTGTTTTAACATGGCACTCTGTCTTCCTCGTCAGATACCTTTAGTTTCATTGTCACCCTTGTGCAAAATCAGCAACAAAATAAAAAATTACCAACAAAATACAAACCACCACCAACAACAACAAAAACAGAAACAATGCGGCTACTTTCGATTGGGACCTCAGATGGGAATGGTTCATTTTCTTCATCTTGATCAGTCCTGCCTAAGACGGCCACCTGTCTTATACGGCCACTTTTCTCCTTGACAATGGGTGGCCGTCTTACACAGGTTTGACTGTATATATAAAAATCTCTTCTTGAATGCTAAGGTCAGTAAATAATCTATTTTTTAAAAAAATGTTTGTGTATAAAACAAACGTGCTGGAATTTTTATGCTCGTATGTATTTGATATTTCTTAAAAAGTAAGCAAGCAGCCATTTTTTCACATTTGGATTATAGTGGATGCACTTTTGTTGATAATTGTCAATTCTGTGCAAATTAAAATGGACAGTCTTCATTTTAAAATTTATTCAACTGAAATGCCTAACTAGATTACAGTGGAAACCTGATATAACAGGGATGGTGGCACCAGAGGAAAAAGTCCTGTTTTATCCGATCCCTGTTAAATCAGAAATACAAGGGAAGTAAGCATTTGTGGACTCATCCAGCTGTATTTATTCATGGGTGGTTTCCCTTGCCACTTGCACCCACGAACAGGGGTTTTGGCCATGCGGCGCACCTGCGCATGACTCGTTATGCGTGCGTGCAGCTAGGCTTAGAGCTAGATCAAAGTCTGCAGCACACCGCAGCCCTCTCTCGCTTCACCGGCTGCCTGTGCTTGCAGTGGCCTGGCTTGCATGGGCTTGCTCCATCATCACTCTCCCTCTCTCTCTCTCTCTCTCTCTCTCTCTCTCTCACTCTCTCTCTTGCTCTCTCTTTCTCTCTCTCTCTCTCTCTCTTGCTCTCTTTTTCTCTCTCTCTCTCTCTCTCTCTCTCTCTCTCTCTCTCTCTCTCTCTCTCTCTTACTTTTTACACGTTAACGAGCCTTTGTCCCTGCTATAACAGATTGGGCTCCGATGAGGCCCTGTTATTGCCGATAACTTTTAATAGAGACAAAGAGTAGGAAAAAACGAGGATTTAAAAAATACCTCTTATTACCAGATCCCTGTTATTACCGGGCCTGTTATATATGGTTTCCACTGTAATTCATTACATGATCACCAACCATAATAGTAATATATGATTTGTTCCCATCATGTGCAGCTGAAGCCTCTGTTCCCCAATGTGAGGCTTACCCTGCCTCCCAAGCGTTGGTTTCGCAGCAACTTTGATGTAGATTTCCTGGAGGAGAGGCGAGAAGGGCTTCAGGGATTCCTGGATAATGTGACAGGACACAGAGACTTGTGCAACAGGTTCAACATGGCTTGAGATTCTTTGGGTTGTAGTCTGCTTTCTTTCTCCTGCTTACATTACTATGCTTTACTCAGGGGCGGCTCCTATTCTTTAAAACTGACGAGCAGATTGTTGGAGGGCACTATTAGTATGTTCAACTTCCTTTCTGTACCTCTTTTTCAACTGTCTTGTCAATCTTGCTTTTACTTCAATACTGAAGGAGCTGTGATTTATCAATGTGCTTCTCTTTATTAAACTACTGTACACCAAGACTGACAGGCTGTCTGAGCAATAGACTAAGAAAAAAGATTTCCGACTAGCTTGACTCATTTGCTTACTTACTGTCTTTCTGTATCAAAAATGTTGTATTAGACAGGTGACACGTCAAACCTGAGTTGAATTTTAACGACTTCCTTAAAATTAGTGTTCTTTTTAAAAAGTAATAGAGTACAATGAAATGATTTTTGATTATGATGATGATGCCTATTTTGTATCTCCCTAATGGGAGGGTTGGAAAGTTCACAGACAAACACAATACCTGCTTTAACGGAAACTTATTTAAAACTTAAAAACTTGTCACAATGAAATCTATTCTAGAGACCGACTGACAAAAGCATTACAGTGGTGTTTATTTATTCTCAAGGGAAAGAATTAATGAAAATTTAGAGTTGTGTGCCAAGCCTTAGGGAGGTTTTATAGGATGTTACTTTTTATTAAAGCTGCTCAGGCTCGGGTAGACTTAAATTATTTTGTTTTCACATATATGCATCAGTCGTAATTTTGTGACGACACCTTTTAATTTTCTCCCAACCCTTATTAATCCAGTTTTGATTTTTATTTGTGCACCAGCTCACCTGTGCGGGATTTTTTCTGCTTTGATGACCCCCCGGGTCCACATGACAGTCTGGAAGAGAGCCGAGTAAGTGAATATGTTTTGTTCAGCAAATAAGTCTGCACATGATTTTATTTTTACTTTGTTGAGTGAATTATGTAATGCTCTAAGTGACTTGATTCATTGTCAAAGGGTTGTAGGTTTGATTAAGTGGTCTGAAGTTTTTACTTTTTGAAAGATGCGCATCTCATATTGTGCTTCGCTCCTCTGGCATAAGAGTTGAGAACCAGCAACTCTGGAGGATAAATATGTCGTTTTTTTGTATGTGTCAGGGAGATTATCTTGTATTGTTTGCTCCACTTCATACCGTATAAATAAAAGAGATACTTTTGTACCTTGGAACGGGGGTTCAGTATCTCTCCTGTATGACATATATAAAACAGTATTGGCCAAAGTTTTTTGAAGTTGGTTTGTTCATTAACTGTTTAAACCCTGAGTTTTTTCGACCGTTTTACCAGAATTTGTTCTACAGTCACTTAAACCTGGTGCACTATACTATATCTCATTTTAACCCGAAAAGCTTGCCTCCTACTTCTAAATTGCGGAAACAAAGGCTTAGTCATTACTAAAAAATTGGACTGGGAATAGTTACAAAAATAAGCAAAAACTAGCACTAAATGAAACGAAAAAATAGTAGCGTCCGATGGGGAACAGGGTTATTACCGCCGGACGCTTGGCGTCCAATAGGGTTTAAAGAGTTAAATATGTTTTGTGGGGAAGGAATTTTTCAGGTTTTTACCTGAGGACCTTGGGTTTTTTTAAGGGTCCTTTGAAATTCATTACTAGATTCAGTAATATTATGCTTCTTTTCACTTCTGATCGTTACACGAAGTATGCGAGTATGTTTTGGTTTTATTAGAATATTTCTCCCCTCTAAAAGCCTTCAGCAGAACACTTACTTGGACCTTAGATGGGTTCAGGTTTGTTCATTGGATACCGGTTCCATCCCTGATTTATGAATGACTAATATTAAATACACTGATTTTCAATTTTTGGGTATTTTCATTTGTCACTCATCAGGCCCAATGTGAGTGTATGGAGGAGATGGTTTACCTTTTGCGCAGAGAGCTGGCAGATAAGGACACAGAGCTGGATCTTGCTCGAGAGGAACTTGAGCTCTATAAGTCTCAGGTGCAGCTTTTGACCAGTCGTCTTAGGTAACTGCAATTAATATTGATTGACTTATATGCAGAACTCTTTTTTTTTTTTTCATTTGCGTTTCACTGCTTGATCACAAGGATAGTCGACTGCTGGTTTGTCAAACTGTAGTGCAACTGATTTTTATGTATGTAACCGTTTTTCGTACTTAGGCTTTTGTTATGCTTTGTGCCTTTTTCAATACAATATAGGTTAACTATTTTAAATGATGGGACCATATCAACTGCTTAGTGTAAGCAGATCTGCCACTCATCCCGATTTAGTCGGGATATCCCGATTTTTTGCCCCAAATCTCAAGCATCCTGATTTTCCCGATTTCGATCGTGTGTATCCCGATTTTTTGTCCCAGTCCGCTGTTGTGCCGGATTTTTCTAAAAACTTACTCTGCCTTCTCCTTTATCACGGGAAGCACCCGTTGAACTTTTTGTCAGTAGAAACTCGGAGCACTATTTCCCGAAATATCGATGCCGCATTTAGTAGCTGACTCGCCCCAAGTTGTATGTGATCTTTGCCCGCACTCAGAATTCTCCGATGATAGCCTGGTAACTATTACAATTTATTTGGGACATACAAATAATCGATAATATTCGTACTTCCACTGCTACTTTCAAAACAAGCCTTGTCCGAGGTCTGGTAACTGCGCGTTCACACCAAATACTCAGACGAGCGACAGTCTTTCTGACCCTTACACGACTACATGTAACTGCACTGACAAGACTAACATACGGCCGTTGTCGTTGCTTTAGTCTGAACGCATTATGAGGGATAAGAGATTTGTTGGTACAATTGGTCGGTCGGCCGCCGTTGTTATCCTAGAGTACTAGAAGTAGAACGACTGTCGCTCATCTGAGTTTAGTGTGAACGCGCAGTTAGTCGGACCCGTTAATAAAATTGTTTCAATCAGCGCATTTGCGTCACGTGACATGACATCGCCGTGTGAGTTCTGCGTGTCGGGGACCGTCCGTTGACGGGTCAACTTAAGTTCATGTATTTCGGGACTTATTGGTTGGGGTTGGGGGGGGGGGGGTATAGACACTTGGACTAGGAGTGCTTGACGTGATGCTTCAGGATTTACCCAAAAAAAATGATAACTCGCACGCATGCACACACACACACACACACACACACACACACACACACACACACACACACACACACACACACACACACACACACAAACAAACAAACACACTCAGAGGGCATATAGGCCAGTAATTTATGGACACCCTTGGAAAAATTTTAAGTCAGCTTTGGCAGTCACCTTGGTGATTTGCTGTTGATCCCGATTTTTCTCACCAAATCCCGATTTTTGCTCCCTGAGATCCTGATTTTGAGGTTTCATAGAGTGGCAGGTCTGTGTAAGACTTTCCGCCTTTCCCCAATTTGAAAAATGACGTGTGATAGTGTCTTACAATGAGCTGTCGAAATCTGTATTTGAGTTTTCAGCGATTTTCAATGCAAGAATGGCATGGAGCAGTCTTATGAACTTTACAAGCAGCCAAGTTTCCGACAGGAATTAAAGTCAAGATCACCTGCTCTGTTGTTTGGTGTCTGTCTGAGGCAAGAGCACACCGTCTCAGTTTGTGTTATTTTGAAAAAAAGGGGGAGAAAGTTATTTTCCACACCAGGAAGTAATGAATGCCTTTAATGTGATGGAGTCTATTTGCATAGCAACAGGAATCAATGCACAATTTACTCCAAACAGGCACATTATGTACTTACGTTGCTTGTAGGTAAATATGACCAGTAACATTTATTAATTCCTGGTCCTTTCGTTGATCTGGTTTCAACTGTTTGACAGTAAACTGTCCAATCTTGCTATGTTTTATCATCAAAGTTTTCAGCCTTAGGGTGTTGAAAAAGAAGTCACAGTCGCAATTATGAATTGTAGTGAATGGGACCTTGGCTTATGCCAAAGCAGACTTGAAGTAAGTGTGGCTCTACATACTGAGTATACACACTTGACCACTGAGTAATGATATATTTGTTTGAGAAGAAATGGTACTTGGTCCCAGTTGTTGTCGGATCATGATAAAGTCCAAACTTTTACTTTAGCCATGCTTGTGCAAACCTGAGAGTGAACCAGATACTGCTGACCCCCGGGAATACAGAGACAGTCTTTTTCTTTCCAGTGAGCTGAATCAGTACCTGAGCCATGACAAGATAAGTGGTGGCAAGTGCGACATTGACTCACTATTTGGGGCAGGAGGTGTCTTGCTTAAAGAGAACAAATGAGGTGAGTTAATTTTATTTATCCGACTAGAGTGAGTGAGTGAATATTTGTTTCAGTTTCACTGTTTATTGTTAGAATTTTAGTTTTATATTCTTTTCGGCAAGATGTGGGTTACGTCTGTGGTAGATTTAGAAATGCCTCCTCTGGGATTTGAAATGTAATGGCCTCACTGTTGTCATGTAATGTAGCAGTAGCAAAGGAAATCACAGTGTTTTTCTATTGGAATACAAGGAATCTAGAGATGTTGGGTGCTGTTGAAAACTCAGCACTAAAGAGTTGTATCTACAGCTGGAAATTTCAAAGGCAAATATAGGGCCTACTAGGCTCACACTTTGAAAAAAGGACATGGGTCCTGACACGGGTGGGGGGGTAGAGGAGAAGCTGTAAATACTCATTTTATTAAAAAATGGTGTGAGGCGGGGGGAGCATATACCGGGTAACAAATAAAATGTAAGTTGTCTTTTCTTCTGTCATTTTCAAACAAATAATAAAAAGTAGGAATTTGGCTTCTAATTTTTTTTCTGTTTCAGAAATTATGGCAAATTCTATGAAAGTAGTATGCTATTTGTTGTCAGTTTTTGCTTGGTGTGTTAATTTTAATGAAATACAGATGCAATATTTTATTATTTTTCAAAACAAACCCCAAAAAAGCATTATATTAGGCCTATTTATATATCTGCAGGGCTACTTTCCTTTCTTCAAAGACGGACTTTTAAATGTACAATACTTTGTTTATCCTGCAGGAAACTGAAGTTGCCTCTGTGGCTATGAAAAGGAAGGAAAGAGATAACCATGTCACTTCATTCACACCTTTTCGAAGTTTCTGATTTTGTGGTGGTTTGTCTTTCCATTTGAGTTGTTATCTCCAGGTAGATAGACACACATGCTGACAAATTACAGAGAGAAAGAAATATCTCTGGAGAAGAAGGCGGTTCTACTGAAATATGAAATAGCTTTTGGTTTTGCACTTTTAATGTATTTCTTTTTCTTTAAAATGTATGTTTTAAGATAATTATATGTGAAGGGTCTGAGAAGACCCACAAGAAGGCATGGGTTATTTAGAAATTTAAGTTAAAAACAGTCCCAGCACTTTATTTCCATTTTAAATAATTATTTGTGAGCTTCAGAAAATAAATAATTTCTAAATCTTTACTTAGATTTGCAGAAATACCCCTTGGTGACAGAAAAAAACTTGGCTAAAATTTGGAACTAATTCCTACAGATGGGCTCTGATTTTCAAGCGAATTCCCTACTGTGACATGCATTATGAAAGAGAATATTTTTGCCTTTTCGTCAAAACCGAGTGTCATGAATATTGTAGTAGCAGTAAATGACAGAAGCACTGAGCATTTTTCATTTCACTTTTTATTTAGCCTCATCATGGGGATTTTCAAAGCTGTTTTCTCAGAACTAAACTTAAGATCCCCATGCCCTTTGATGTGCTATAACTTTTTACAGAAAGGCCCAAATGCATCTTAATAAAGTGCTAAATGTTCAATATAATGGTGAAAGTTTTCAAACCCAATAAGTTACCTCTTACTTTACTCAGAGCTCCTCATAATAGAAATCAGTTTAAACTAATTTTTTTTTCTGTTAAAGTTGAACTTTGATCATCTACTTTTTATCACTAGAAGTGTAAATATGTGTTCTGCAAAGTGGTAACAAGCATGTAATGATTTCATATTTCATAACGGACTCCAAACATTAAAGGGTGACCTTATTTAGGCCACATATGGCCTAAATAAGCTAAACCCCCCTCCCTTACCTTATTTAGGCTACACCTGTATAAAAATGGCCTTCATATAAAAATTGCCTTGTTTTCAGAAGCAAATTTTAATAGTTCTAGTTCTACCGAATCGATTTTCACGCGAATTCAACCATTTTGATGATCTTTCTTTTCCTTTTAAAAAGATGTAGATCTAGGCCTGTCGGATGTGGCAGTGCGAATAACACTGAGTTGTTTAGATCTAGACCCATCAAAACACGAGGCTTCGTGGCCGATCACAAAAGTCTACGGGGCTTATCGAGGCCGATTCGCCCTGAGCACGTTCACTAAACTGCCTACTAGATAGAATCTACTACCAAATATTCTCTACACGATCTTTGCTACTACTACTACTAGGCCTACTCGCCTACATGTACTACTACGAGACAGTACGAGAGAGTGTCACTCAGGCAAAGATAGTGTAACTTTGACTCAGCCACGTAGTGTACACTCTTTTTATACCCCAAATTTAACCCGGAAGTCCATTCGGAGGATTTGAACTTTTCACTTGACCAAAGTGTGCCAAAATGGTAGCCTAGCTTTTGCCCCTCCATGAAGGAAAAATCTGGCCCTCATTCAAACCATTGGGATTGAGCAAAATTTTGCATATTGTGCTTTGTTCTTTACAATATTCATTATGGTTATGATTTATAAGTTGTACACTGAGACAAAACCGTACTAAATGAGAAAGGTGCACCATTATGAAAGTGGAACGAACTCAGTTGCCTGAAAAGGGTAGTTTGAGCCTAAATAAGCTAAACCCCCCTTCCTTACCTTATTTAGGCCATATGTGGCCTAAATAAGCACTCCCAACATTAAAACATGAACTAACTCATATGCAGTAGTTAGATTAAAGTAAGGATGTTGAGAAATTACTTGAAAATGCCAATAACCCAAGTATGTTTTTCAGGTGTCTTTCCTGTGTGAAAAAAACGAGCAAGGAAAACAGAGATTTCAAGATTTAGTGGTGTGGCTATTGATTTTCATCAGATAGAAGTGTTGCTTTTTTGTTCTCAGTTTAATCTCGGCATTCATTCGTTTAAGCTGGAAAGGAGGGATTTTTTTCCCACTACAGTTTTTCTATTGCATTTCTATTTTGTAACTTTATTTTTTTTCCTTTTTGTTGGAATATTAATTCTAGTAATTTAATCATTTGGATATTGCATTTTGCGGCACAGTCTTTCAACGCATTTCAGAAGTGTTGTTTTCACATGCATTTATAAGTTTAAATAATTGTGTTGTTATCTCTATTTCTTTATCCCCTCCCACCCCACTAGGAATCTTCAATGTTCGTTTCTGTCTTTTTTTTGCAATAGCCAAGAAAAAAATAGTGAAATCATTGTTATTGTTGATGCTTTCCTGAATATTTGTGCCTTTGATATAGTGCAGCGGGCTATCAGATCCCCTATTTCCCACCATTTATGTGTTTTGGGTATTTTTACAATTTGGACAATTGATAGAAATAAAAGTTAATGTAGCTTTTAATTCCGGCTGTATTACCAGCAAGTATTCATTCACAAACTTTTTAGTTGTCAAGCAAATCACTTGAGATAATAAAAGCAATAATTGGGTCAGATCTTGTCAACATCTGGTATTTGAGGACATTCTTTCAATTTTGTGATAACCTTTTTCTTATGCCCTGTTGTGACATTACCTTTCTTTTAGCAAAATTTATGTTTTGTGGATCTCAACTACTGGGTTATGTCAGAGTAATAATATTGCATTTACTTTTCTTTTCAAATTAGATTTGCAAGAAAATTATTTATTTTGAAAGGTACACTGCCAATACCTGGACTGTTTATTTGCAGCATAAGCGAACAAAGGGTGTCTGCTGGTTTTCCCACCACTTTGTTGCTGTTATTTTCCTGTTATTCTTTTTCTCAGACTAGTTATTTTTATATGTTTGGCCTTGTTGGTAGGAAGACAAAGCTTATATTTTATAAACTTATATCAGCCATCTTCACTTTTTTCTAAATTCTGAATTATCTGGTTTATTCCTATAATGCAATTGTCGTAGCTAAAGTAAAGAAAATCTTGTGAAAAATAAATGAGGGGGGATGGGGGGGGGTTCTCGAATCCCATCCTGCCAAAATGTTTGTGTTTTCATTGCCTTGTACCTGTCTTTTCAGTTCAATTGATATGTTATTGTTAGCCAGAAAGGGTTTTCACACATGTACTACGGACACAGCAGAATCTATAGAAAGAATAAACTGGCACTTTTACATGGGTATAGAGTAACCAAGTGTTTTGTCTTTTCGTTTGCCAATGATTACTGCTGCAACTATCACTGTTTATTTTTTTGAAGTGGAAAAAAACAAACGCTTGCACTACTGATTCGATTGCACTAACTCATATACTTTATTGTGTACAGAAGATAAAAAGAGGACAATTAAATGGGGGGGGGGGGGTTGCAATAATTGTCAAAATTTGAACTCAACAAAGATTAATATGAATATTTAGACATAAAAAGAAATGTAGATTGACTAAATTCTTAAAACGTGAACTGACTTTGTGTTATGTTGTTGAGCCGAGAGCAGTCTCTTTCATAATATTCTATGGTGCTAGTTTACTGGCAAGAATGTTTTGTTTTTCTCCTATTGTTTCTCAGAGATTGATAGCATGTTTGATTATCCTGCATTATTTGAAGCCGCATCTTTTGTTTAATATGTATTTATATTATTTTACATGAAATGGAGGTCTAGAAATCTTCCTGTTATTGTTTCGTGGAATTTACTTTCACAGCCTTTGTTGGTGCAATAGAAACTTATTCATATTTTAATTTAAACATGTAGTTGTTTTTAGATTCAGACTGACTTCACCCCCCCCCCCCCCCCCCCCCCCCCGCAGTGTCACTGACTGAAGTGTCTTTATGCCTTTCCCAAAGGGGGGACATTTCTGGTTCAAGCATAGTGGAATTGTAAATGGGCTGACTCATGTCACGCTCATAACTGTGCCTGATCTACAACAGGGAACTGCTGCTTTTTCTTTCCTGATCCTTACTATTGTCATTTTTCCTCTACTTCTTTTGTATATGTGTCACTATCTTGTGACCTGCTATTTTGGGGTACCTTGATAATCGAAGCAGACCTTGTGCTGTTGAAGCTAGAGAGGTGAGCAGTCTAAGTCTGATTCCCTGTAAAGACTTCTCTGTTGACACCCACCCCTTGGTGCTCATATGACCTTATGCAGTTGCGAGCGCCGTAAAACCCTCCACTATTATAATAGACTGGCCTCTTAGATTTGCATAATATGAGATCATATCAATTTTGGGGGGCGTAAGCTCAGCATAAGGAATTACGACTTCCCATCCTGTCTTATGAATTGCTACTTGTTTCTGTCGTCTTCCAAAACTGCTGATCTCTTACAGTGGCACAACAACATCTTCCATGTGAATGAATTGAATATTACTACGAGTCCAAACCTGCATGCATTTATTTGTACCACTGGTTTGAATTTAAAGCCAATATTTCCTAGTCATATCTGTATTGCTTATCACCTTTTTCTTAATTAGGATTAAAGGTTGGGTGTTGTTGCTGTTACTTTTTAAATTGATATAATGCAATTTATTAATGTTAAACCAATTTATTAATGTTAAACCTTTAGGCTATATGATCCATATGCTCTCAGCTGTATAGAACTAAAATGAAGCAGGGTGCGCTCCTTCCCTTTTGTGCCTTTTTTCCCTGTGGGTTTTGAACACAAGAGATTCTATAAGCCCTCAAGATAATGAGCTTGTCTTCTAACATTTGATGTAACCAACATGCATTTTTGTATTGTCACTACTTCAGAATAAGGAGATCAGGAGTTTTGTTGTCACATGGTGATGATCATTTCAGAATTTTTTTCATAAAATCCAGAATTTTTTTATTTTGTGTATTTCGCACAAATGAATGTTATTAGTCGTGTGGTATTCTACATCTGAAACAGATAAACATTTTTTAAAGAGTTGAAGCAGGCTGTCACCATTCACTCATAGTTTACCTCATTTTGGCATAGTCAGTGTGCACTACAAGTTATAAAAGTAAACAAAGTTAATATGCGTTACTGATTATGGATCGAGGGTGACTGATACCATCTTGTTAATTTCTTTTAAAAAGTCCTGTTCCATTTAAAGAAATGAATTTCTTTAGGTAGACTTCATTGTAAAAGACCAAAGGCTTGAAATTCCGGAGTCTTTGCATATTGTTGTAATTTCTTGAACCACACCACAGACAGAGTTTATTTTTACTCATTGCAAAAAGAATTTAAATAGTTAGTTTTTCTTTGCTTACTAATGAGAGATGGTTTTTTGGACCCGCTTGATGTATCATTTTTAGCGGAGAGAGTGTTCTAAGTAATCATTTTGATGAATTATCATGTCATTATCCTTTTTATAGTTGTTACAAATTATTGTATCTGTCTCTTTAACTGTAAATAGATGTCGGAGGCTCTGCCATGGTTGTTACATTATCAACAGCTGCTTTGAAAATTGCCAGTTCAGTTGTGAACAAAAAACTGTAATCTCACTTTTTAAATTATTTGTATGGTCAAACGCATATTGTCATGTTTCAAGTGTCCTTAAAGTCCTTTGCATGAATACTGCATTGTAATCCTATTGACAAAATTGTTTTTTAAAGGTGCTAAGTATGGTGAAATATTAAACAGAGTGGCTAGTCGCCCAATCTCGGTTGGCTTGCGTCAGGCTAGTCGCCCTATCTCGGTTGAGTAGCCTGACGCTACTGGCCCATGGGGATTTCCACGCATGTTCCGGGCGAACGAATTCGGCTGATTAGCACCGCCTAGCCTGCGGCTTCTAGCCCGTGGGGATTTCTGTGCTTGTTCCGTGTTCTGACCCTTGGGGATTTCTGCGCATGCTCCTTTAGAAATCGCGTGATCAATTGCACAAGATTCAGTCACTCAATCACTTCTCTTTGTCCTTCAAGTCAAGAGTCGGATCAGTCAACATGGCATTATTATAATACATGTCATGAATGAAGATGGAACTGGCCATAATGTGTGCAATAATGACTGTATTGCACCGGGTCAGCTTGTGAATCGATGCAGATAGAAAACGACAGGAATCAGTAATTCTAATAACAACCCCCCCCCCTCTCTCTCTTTCTCCCTCTCCCTCTCTCTTTCTCATTCTCACTCTCTCTCTTTCTTTCTCTCCCTCCCTCCTCTCTCTCTTTCTTTCTCTGCCAGCAGACAAAATTTCTCGCTTTCACTTTCAACTCAGCGCTGGAACATTTGCTTACACTCGTATCACGAGTGGCCACGCGCTAAGTCGATGAAGATCTAGCGCCCAAGTCTCGTTCGGACACGAGATAGGGTAGTTGAAACATCTTGGTAGTAGTTACACAATCTTTAATAACATCACGACGCTGCATTTCTATTGTTAGTAACTTTGTCACAGGCTTTCTGATGAATGATAATAATTAAATAATAAAGGGTGATGGATCTAGGGGATCTAGTCAACTCCCGAGGGAAACCTCGGAAGCAAAGATACTCCACAGTATCTTTGTCGGAAGACACGAGGCTGTGTTTACGCTATTTAATATGGGGTGCCCGATCACCCGACTCGGTCGCCTCAAAAACAAACTTGTTTGTTTTCAGTTTCAGGCAATCGAGTCGGGCGATCGGCCTGATCCAGCCGTAGTGTGCACCCTGTATAAGACTAGATCTAGGTGACCGGCTCCGGCGGGTGGGCAGAAAATGCCAGCCGCCCGAGGTCGCAAAAATCCCCACGGGCCAGTAGCATCAGGCTATGCGGTCGAGTAGCCTGACGCTAGCCGCCCGAGATCGGGTGACTAGCACCGGCCAATGTTAAAACATTGGGGGGGAGGGGGATGAGGGGTGAGATGATGGAGAAGGTGAACAAGAAAGTGTAAAAATACTACCATGCATTGTGTTTGTTGCTTTTTTAAAAATTATCTTTATTGGGAAGCCGGGTTTAAGATTTATACCTGTCATTTCAAGGTTGTGTATATAAAGTATAATAAAGATCACTGTCATGTTAACATAATCATATGAAGGATAACGGAAAGAAAGACAGCATAATACTGAAGCTGGTACATGTGTGTATTGCTTCTCTGTGATATACCGGCCCATTATGGTTATTATATAGGCTATTATGCTCAAGGGCAAAAGTACTGATTTTGACAGAAAGTGTTTATGTATATTCACATTTCCAACCTTTGAACTGTAATTTTCAGTTTTTAAATTGAAGTTTTTTGTTCAGTATTGCAAGGCAGATAGCCACCTCAATTGAAGACGATTTAGTCTGTAATCATATTATTTGAATGTTTGAATATTGTAGTGGGACAGGATCATTGTTTTTTTTATTTTTACTTTATATTGGGGTTTTTTTTGGATGGTTTCGTTTTTTTCCATTATAGTAGGCCATTTATAAGTTAAATAAGGCTTCATTTTTGTGAGTTGTAGTCCTTACAAGGTGCAAGTTGATGGAATAAAGAATGTATGCTTGTGGTTTGTGAATTAGTCTTTAGAGTGACAATATAGTGTTGACGCCTGAGAAAATGACCCAAATGTCGGCACAGTAGATCTGATTCTGGAGCAGAAGTAGAAGCACAAAAAAGTGTCACTCACAGTTCGAACAAGAAGTAAATTAAAGTTTGACAGTTTCTCAACCATTTTAAAAAGATTTTTCCACTTTAATTTGTGAACTCTTATTTTCAGGAGATATGTGAACATTTCATGTTTAAAATGATCCGGTTAACTTTTATCTCAATTTTAACAGCCAGGGAACCTGTTTCATGTTTACCTACATTTTCGTCATGGTCTTTCCAACACTAACACTTTGAAAGGAGTGTACACAAACACTCTCATTTTCATTTGCATTGAATCTGACAATTAAGCATCAGTTTTTCTCAAGGGCACTGATAATTGTGTGAAGAAAGTACATGTACAAAAAAAGGGGGGGGGGGGGTGTTAACCGAAGAACCTCACTTTTGGCCCTGTCTTACAAAATGTGGAAGATGAATTTCTTAATCATAATTGCAGATACTGAAAAAGTATTTAGAAAACCAGTGTTTTCATTATGTTGAATTTCCTTATAGAAAGTGTTCTTGCCCCATATTCCAACAGCCCTGACATTTGACGTGTTTTCCCAGGAACACAATATGAAACTTATAGTCAACCTTCTATGTCCAGCCTTTGTTTTCATTCGCTCATGAACAAATCAATGTTCTCTTTCTCTAGATTTATGCATTTATGTTGTTTCAGCATTTTTTGGGTGT